TCTTTGAACGATTTTTTGTTGTCTTTGGCTTGCAAAGAATGGAATGTTTTATAACAAACCTACTCACTTAATTATTTTGTTTGAATAAAAACTTGATATTACATTTTTTTTGTATTAGCGGATGTTTAAAATAAATAGAACATGTTTAATAAGCAATTTAGATGGCGTACAATATAATTACATAATATTTATTTTATTAATGCCTATATTTATAACACCAGTTAACTAAACTTAAACTTATTTATGAACATTTAATATTCTGTTTACATTATACATTTTTTGTTTAACATAATAAACCTATTTGGAAACCTTTAGATGATGGTAAACATAAAAAATTAAGTGAATTTTTAAATTCCTTACGTCATTGAGGTTTAAAAGATGGAAGCTGTAAGCGGTGAGCTGTTTGATGGAATTTTAGCAAAAAATGACGACGTGTCTGTAATCCATGTAACATATTACATATGATGTAGTAGATTGAACATCATTAGAGTCACGACGCGATGTGACGGCATGTGGGAGTTAGCGGTTTGTAATTAAGACCATGGACTTGTAATTGAGACGTTTTGCGGCAAAAAGTGATAGGTTCGACCGTCGTGTCAGAAGTTACCTAATGATTATGTTGGAAATAACGTGTAGCATTAAAATTATTGATAATATGGGCTTGTTTTAATAAAAGTTGAACAACTTCTATCAGTAAATGGGTTACTAAACTGATTTATTTGATTCTATTTTAATGTCTATAACATATTTCTGGCATTTCCGTAGTTCAAACGAGAAGGCAAGCCTTGAATACGATCTAGATTTGTTAATGTTAAATAGAGTCAATGATGAACGATCAGCATCTAATTAACATTTCTAGCTGCAGGCTATTTAATTAAATTCAACTTTGATGGGACTTCATTTCTGAATTTAATTTATTATTTATCATAATAAATTATGTCGTAAAATCCTCAAATTTATCCCTTTAGTAATCTTTAAAAGAATTTTCTTTTATTATTTTTTCTGAACAATATGCTACCCAGGTTCTAGACATGACGGGTTCTGTACAGTACATAAACACAATATGCATAACAATTAACATTCTTATACCTATATGATTTACTCCTTCCTGAGAAGAATTGAATGAAAAATATTGCATTCCAACCCTATACCTATACCATTGAGCGTGAATAGTTGTCACAATCTCAATGAAAACTTCACGGAGAACGCGTTTCATTATGGTAGATTTTAACATGGCAACGTTCGAAAATGGCGCGAAACTGATATGGAAACTCGATTACGACAAAATTGGATTTATTCGTAATTTAACGCATTAGGACAGAGTTTGTCTCGATTATACGTTGCATTAAGAATAAATTGTCGCAAATATTTCCTCCCTTCATTATTATTGGCATATTAAATCTGTTAGATTAGTAATATTGCTTAAGCATTTACACAACAGTGAACGCTGCTTTACTGCGATGTTTATAGGTACTGTGTTAATGCGAAATTCCAGTCACTGATTTTCCAATGATCAAGTACACCCAATCAGCAAGTTTGAGGTACAAAAATAAATCGAAAGGTCAGGTTGACTTCCTGAATGAAACTTTCTTGTTTACGCAACCTTTTTGGCGGGTAATTACTTAGTAAGTAGTTATTAAGTAAAAATAACTTGAATATGAGTAAGTATGGAGGCTCAGGGTGCGGTCGTGGATCGCAATGACCTACTGTCGCATGTGTCTGCGAGAGAATTTTCCTCGAAACATTTTTGCAATTCAAATCTAATAGGCTTTTTATAGACACGCACATGTGAGTTGTGTAATCTTGTAATTTCATAAATAATCTGAATATCTGAGACATTCAAGTAATATTAGTTATGACCTCCTGTCTTTGTGTCTTTGCATTCTAGTAGTAAAATATCTAAGGCAGCATAATGAATGACAGTTAATTTAGAATTATCACTGAGGTTTACCTCTCTCACTAGAAATAGAAAGGTCGTTAAGTGACTATTAAGCAATTCAAAGACGTTCAGTGACACTAGTCTTGTGCTTAATAGTTCGCGACTAAGATCACTCAGATCAGTTCGCCGCTCCTAAACGAACTAGTTCGCTCTTTTAGTTCGTCAGCTCCCGACTCGCAGTTGGAGTTGGAATTGGAATGAATCGTATAGGAACTAGGAAGGCACTGGCAGCCAAATCGCTCCCTAGTTCGTCAGCTCCCGACTCAGCTCATGACTTTTCAAGTGAGATCATATGTTATCGCATTTTGACGTGACAACGTCTTAAATTAGGTTGCGGCTGGGAGTCACTTATGAAAAAGTGTAACGCTCGGTAACGTTACGATGAGTCACCGAACGAGAGAGAGGCCCGCCGAATGCCTTGCGTCTCTCTCCCACTCAACTATGATCGGTCTGCCGCGCGCGCAGCACTAGTTCATTCAATTCCTTGTTCCTATTGTGCAATTTAATTATATTCATATCAATAAATATTCTACCGAGAAAAAGACGTTGTCACGTAAAATCTTCGCCCGTAAAAACGACTTTACAGGCAACCATTTTTTTAGTTCGGTCTTCACCATAGACTATACATATAAACGACTTCACAATCCTTGTACTTTGAAATACGAATTAAGGAACTAAGGAGTTGGGAATGACGTGAACTAGTTCGCATATTTTGAATGTGGGAGCGCTCTTTTGAACTAGTTCGTTCGCGAACTACACAAGCCTAAGTGACACAGTGTGTAAAATCAAACGAATCTTGTGTGTGTGTATTGCAGTAAAATATCTCAAAATATCTTCATTACTGCCTTAGAGATCAAGTAGATATTTCTTTGTCCTATAGATATTGGTTTTAAGACATGATTTCTCAATTAATCACAATCAAAATCTAGTCCACTTCCAACAACAAACAAACAGGTAGACCCAATGATATTATAAATACGTCATTGGGTAGACCACTTAAAATTCACTGAACCACTGTTTCTTATAAACATTGTAACAACAATAACTAGGTACCTACTTACTAGAAACAATATCAAGTTACTTTCTAGCCGATGCCGGCGTAAAACAAAAGCGTTGCTATCGAAAGATGGCCGCTGACTGTTGGCATAATTATTGGCTAGTGAAAGTGTCATGTTACGTGCTCAGAGTGTCGTATCACTATCGAAGTATCGACAGTCAGGAGTCGATAGTTGGCGAAAGTAAATGTGATAACAATGTTTGAAGATGACCCTTACTTTGGCTTTCCCGGCGACAATTTGCTAGTAACTAGCTTAAATTGTAAGTTGAGGGAGGTTGATGCAGTTTGCCTACGTTACAGTTTTCATGTAAAATTATTTTCAGTTAGCAATAGAAAATACTAGTCAATTTAAGCGATGTCTATTGTCATGATTCTCTTAGATTTGAATAAAGTCTAATTGTTAAATAATAGTAGAAATCACACCCACACCAGTATTGACTTTAATACTAAAATTAGACACACATAACATAAGATCACTTCTTTTACCCCCAATGGGGTAAGTAGACGTGCACATTACGGCACTTAATACCATTGTACAATGTAACACCCACTTTTTACTATTTATGTTTTGAGCCCCATATAATAGGCGGTGAACCTATTGCCGTACGTATACCGGGCACAATTACAGACTCCGTGCTACTACTGAAATATAAAAAAAAATCCATTATAAATTTGCCCGACTCGGAAATCGTACCCGAGACCCATTTGCCCCGTAGTTGCACTTGCGACCACTCGACCAACGAGGCAGTCGACTAAAATTCGAAGGTATAATTAAACCATTAAACCTAATTTCATGATTAAGTAAAAATAATTTCGAAAGCGACTTACCAGTTAACTGATTAAATAAATACCAGGAAATAAAGACGCCTACAAAGGCTATAACATTTTTTCCTGTAAATTAAATAGTTAATCGGAAATTGTGATTGTTCTACCACATTCCAGGATACACTGGTAAACAATAAACATGCTGAGCTGCATTCCGAGGCCTGCTAACTGATAATACCTCACCCTTTGCTAATGTATTTGTATTGACATAAAACAACTCGGAATTGTCCTTGAAAGCCCTTTATCATTGTCACTCTACATACACGGAAGCGAAATAGTCATTATTTTTAAATTTGATATTGTTTATCAGTATAGTACCTATTTAATGTTGAATAACAAATAATCATTAAATAAAATTAGTCTCGATTTAAAATTATTTCTTTTCCATTTCTCAAATAAATGTATGTTCCTATGTTAAATACTTTTATTACGACGACGACGTTGAACGATGTCAATGTGTTAATATTAAAAATAAAAATTAAAAAATAAATACAATTATGACGTGTGATACCCACTCCATAATTTCGACATTGTTTTCGCCGGCCTCGGTAGCGCAGTAGGCAGCGCGTAAGTCTCATAATCTTAAGGTCGTGAGTTCGATCCTCACCCGGGGCAATTCTTTTTGTATGTTTTCCTTAATACTTTTTTATTCTTTACTCGATAGTTTTTCACAATAAACTAGGCCATGGAACTTGTTTGCCACTGGTTCTGTTGCAACTATCAATCTATACGCACCTGGCGTTCATTGCGAAATGTAATGCGTATGCAAATCCCATCAGCCTAGACAATGAAATATCTTTACAAAACCTGCCCACGTCCACCCGTGGTATCTGTGATTGTTTACATTCATAAATAGTAATAAGACTGATAATTAAGTCGCTACACAATTTCGCAACTTGCATTCCGCCCGCCACAATGCGTGCGACATTTCACAAATAGATTGCTGTCAAGATTTATTTCAACGCCATCTATTGACAAGTAGAAGTATTAAATAAATGTTCAGAAATTATTTATTTATTCGTTGTGTTGCAATGTTTTCTAAGCATATCATTTCCATTTGATTATAATCGTGTCATATTACAATATTTATTGATTATAATTTATTGTGTTTGAAAAGAAAGTTTTTAAACGATGTCATAAAATGCAAACAAATAAAATTGATGTGTTTTTTTTTTTCAGATTTAACTTTGGAGGCGGGTCGCTAACAAGGATGTAAGTGCAAATTGTTATAAAATATTTTTCTTTTGTTTATTTTTATCAAATTTCGTCATCTAAGGTAACAAGCAAAGCGAATACGGTTGCCTTATCGATAGGCCATCTTTAACGAATTTATAAACGGATGAAGTTTTACATCTGTTGTAATAACAAGTACCAATTTAAAATTACAGCGTATTGCAAGACCTGGAGCTCTTAATGTTAAGGTCATTGGGGTGAAATTTGCATACACTTTCGTTGGGGAATTTCGACCAACTACTAGTAGAACGTCACTATAAAAAATTGCTTTTTTTTGTTTTTGCCAGAATATTCCGATTCAAATTTCGAATATAGAATTCGAGACCTCGTGACTGGCATGCGCCCTTGCAATTCTATTTACAAAATACTCGAACGTTTGAATTACATAAACAAACATTTAATAACTCACTTGTAATGTTAAAGTCAATGTCTATAGGTGTTGACGTAAATCAATTTTAATTTCAAACGATAATGGCTGATAGTTTGACTCCACTAATTACAGCCATATTGCGTTGAGATTAAAGTTCAAAATCGTGCTGTTAATGACTGAATTATTTTTTATGAATACTTTGTACGATATGCAACCTTAACCTTGTTGAACTTTATGGTGTTTTTGCTTTGAGCAGAAGCTGCAAGGCAAATCTTCTCACCATTACGCTGCAAAAACTAAAAACAAAACGGACTACAATTTCGCACTGAACTTGTATAAGATTTTACATAATAACAATTCGTAGTTATTGTTTAAACTTTATCTAATTTAACTTTTTTGTATTCATGTCTATGATAATAAAATCCTTTTGTTTAAACTTTATCTAATTGTGGCATTTTCTCATCTTAAACACAAAGAAGTGAAATAGATCAAATATGAGTAATATTTCGCAATGTTACAGTTATTGTTACAGAGCACTAAAAGCATGCCGTGCCGTGAGAAATCCCAGCCCCTGATTGGCTAACCAAGTAACCACAGATAGCAAAAAGGGCTACAGATAAACGATTACTGTTGTCGACTAACAATTCGTATTGCGTTAATCGCTTTGGTTTTACGATTATTTGATCGATTCAATTCGATTGTCGTTTTTACTCTTTCATTGCATAATACAGTCTGTTTTGTTTTCTGTCAACGCCATGTTGAATTTGTTTTGTTTTTCTTCTTTGATGAAATGTCATTAACACTAAACACTTTTCTGATGAATTTGAGATGAGAAAAAAGCAAATTGGTCATGTATTTTATTACGAACCATCTATGTTTAATGGAAGTATGTACTTTTCTCGGGACGGCCTTATCTATGCTTAGGTAGCTAACATTTGTAATTTGTTAAATAAATCCTTATAAATAGGATGGATAATTAGACAATATTGATCTAATGACCTTATTATCAGTTAGAATCCCTAAGAAGCGATAGAAAATACAAATCCACGACAGATTAACAACAAGTTCACATTTGTCAGATACACACCTATTCACCACGTCCCCAAACCCTTAAACGCCACAGATTATACCAAAATATTCCGAAACATAGCAGCTAGGGCTAGCCTTTATCACCAAACTATGTAGTCTATCTGCATTCCAAAGGATGCTAGAGATAATTTAATCAGTATTTACAATTCATATTTTACTTAAATTGTCACGGCTTTGTCCGCCATTTTGTCGAGTGCGTGACAGAATTCACAAAACTGCATGCGATGCGTTACCGTCTAATGATAAGTGTTACGTGATGTTTTATTTAACAATATGGCCGTAATTTCGCTAACTAGGCACATGCGAGATAGACGAGGACATTCCGTAAATGTTTCAAGATCATTCGCTTTGTGTATTTAGGTAATTATTTTGAACTGTAATGCAATACACTAAAGCTTTGACTTTAGTGTAGGTATTGTTTTCGTGATGTAAAAATGACTTACTAATAAAATAAATGCGTTCTTTCTAGATCACTACATAGTATAAAACAAAGTCGCTATCCGCCGTCTATCTGTCCCTATGTATGCTTAGATCTTTAAAACTACGCAACGGATTTTGATGCAGTTTTTTTTAATAGATAGAGTGATTCTTAAGGAAGGTTTACATGTATAATTCATGCATATTGCACCCGTGCGAAGCCGGGGCGGGTCGCTAGTAATGAATAAATAAGTAACAACAGAATTATTATAATTTAAAGTTACCATTTAAAATTGTTTGTATCAATTATTTAGCTTTCCCAGTTCGAAATAATCTTAACAGATAGTTTTTTTTTCACTGCAGTTGTAACGTAATACCACAGAGTATACAATCAATCAATGAGATAAGATATCTGTGTCAACATTTCACTTTCTCCTCTGATATAAGCGAATTAGAAGAAAAAATGGCCGCGTATTATTCATTGAAAACCTTTGCCCTTCTGATTGCTGGTAATTTACTTAGGTATAAAATAAAAATCTTACATAAATAATGCCGTATATTAGTGTAACTATTGTTCCAAATGACGACTTGTTTGTTTATTTTAACTGCAGCTTTGAAATTTTGTCGGAATAAAATGCCTTTATTTTAAAGTCACTGTATTTAGGGTTATTTCGTCTGTTGGCGTCCAACCTACTAAAGTTCGCCTGTTCGCGTCCCGCACCAGCTTTTCTTACGGAATGAATGTAGGTACTAATAGTACTTAAAACGTGAAAATGTCAAACAAATGAATGTGTAGGTACTAAATACTTCTTATATGTATGGTGTTAGTTTTATTATTATCGAGAATTTTTAAAGGGCGTTTCGTTACATGGACCGGAACTGGAGAGTGGACGCGAACAGGCGAAATTATCCTACTTATTTATTTGTATACGTCATAATTCTGTAGTGTAGCTAGTTCGATCTAGTTAGTCAATCTCTGAACGGAATTAGGTACCTACCGTTATCCAGATCCAGTCTCTTCTAGTCCATTTTGTTTGTACGACAAACTCTTCCTTTCTCACCTACTTAAGAACATGTAAAATCTGGTCTGTAAATTGTTTTTAATTTCATTTTAGGTGATATCAAAATTTCTCTTGTCACTAAAGTCACCAGAACCAGTATAGTTAGTTTTTGCGCGGTGTTTCAAAAAACCGCGCGACTCGATGCTATCGAGGTGACTTATTACAACAGTTTGAGCTGCGGTAGATGATGTCATCGCTGATGATGAAGCGTCATTTCTTTGAAGTTTCTACAACCGGTTTGAAGTGAAAAGAAGGATGACTTTGACGTAAAGGTATCAAACGATGTGATGTCAAAATTGAATAGATTGACTCCCTTCCCTGAAGACAAAATTAAATAGCTTAAGTTCGTATGTCGACTACCTCGTTGGCCGAGTGGTCGCAAGTGCGACTGCCAGGCAAGGGGTCTCGGGTTCGATTTCCGGGTCGGGCAAAGTTTTACTGTTTTTTTTTAAATCTCAGTTGTAGCACGGAGTCTGGAATGTGCCCGGTATATGGCAATAGGCTCACCCCCTTTTACATGGGACTCATAACATTAATAGTGAAATTGGGTGTTACCTCTGTGTGCACCTTTGCCTACCCCCCCTTCGGGGATAAAAGGCGTGATGTTATGTTATATGTAAGTATTCGTATGTACTTGGCATAAGTTTCGACTTTGGCGAATTTCAACATTAAACGTCATGAGAATTATTGTCTGAAGGTCTATACCTTCTATTCGTGTATACACCTACATATGCCTATGCATATGTAGGTGTATACACGGCCACACATCAACCTATACAAAACCAGTTTATCCTGGTGTCGCGTCGCATCATCTTTCCGCACATTTAACGTTCAGTTTATACTGGTTATGTAAAGCTTGATGTGTAGCCGTATGTACCTTACCCAATTGCGTTATGAATTTCATTGTCTAACAATACATGCACGCATCAATTATTTTGGCCCTATATCTGTGTCATAATTTGTCATAAGTTGTGTCACTCGCGAACTCTATTCATGTGGGATCGTAGCTGTGCAACCTTGTAGTAGAAGAATATAATATGTTATCTCTGTATGTGTGGGTGGTGCATACAATATTGTTCGCAATTAACCGCCGCCTCTTCACACCAATCTGAAGGAAGATGTGAATAATTTTGGCTATACGACCTTCGTACAGTAATTTTATGGGATTCGATGCTTTTATTTGGAAATAGAATTTACTTCTAACTGCAATTTTCAATCACTTATAAAAATAATTGAGCACAGGCAGGAAATATAAAAAAATCTTTTATTTATTTATTGCGCAATAAAAAACGAATGAAACGACAATGACGTCATGCCCGAAATGCCTAAGACATACATATGGTGCTCTCTTTCTAAACTCCACACTATACAGGACTTTTCATTCATAAAACAAAAACAAACGATACGTCAATGACGTCACGCCCGAAATGACAAGAATAGGGTTTGACAGGATTGTAAAGTTCCTATTCTACAACAAACAGTTTCTATAAACTCTCAATCATTGAAATAGACTCGAATATTCGCGACCGTCCATACAAAAGGCCAGGCAGTTCAATGCGTACACCTGAGGGCCAAGCACGAATAACTATCGCATTCGTATCGTAACAGTATCGAGCGAAGTAAGCGTTCTGATTGGTTGGTTCACTCGAGCCGGCCAATCAGAGCGCCGAACGCACTCGATACTATTACGTTACGATTGCGATAGTTATTCGTGCTTGGTACTCTGCACTAAACTTTCGATGTTAATTTACGCAACTGTCGTAACTACTTCGACGGTCGAGTGGTCGAGAGCGATTTCCGAGCAAAGGGATCTCGGTTATTGATTCTGTTGGACCAGAATAATATTGGATTTTAAATAAGCCTCATTTGTCTTAACATAGCCTTTATCGTGGAGTGACGATATCCGCTGTATGGCTGGCAGTGGTTGGTTGCGAAGAATTGAAGATCCAGTTTTGTTGTATGTTATTGGAGAGGTATCCTAATGCCTATGCCTAGCAAATAGCAGTGGATGGAAACAGGTGATGATGATGAATAACATACCT